ATGCGTAAGTCTTGTAAATCATAAAACTCGTTTGTCAAACAGAAATCCTTTACAGGAATATCTGGGCAAACAGGCAACCATATTTACCCCTACGAGACTCACTATGCTCGCTCGCTCGAACATACTTCACTACCCTCCGTTCACAACATACAGGAAACTGAAACAAGCATACCCAAATATAAAACCAAACAAAAAGGAAAGCGCGCTACATGGACAAGCGGCCCGCGAACTCCGATTTGGACTCATCTACCCAGGCGAGGAAGAGCGGTACCGACTCGACACGTCACTCGAACATCACAGCTTCAGTTGTCTCTTATTCAGAGTACCAACGATAGTCGCACTGTACGTCACGAACAGGTATATGTTCGCGCTAGAAAAGACTCCGGCTGGTCTCACATGCATTGGCTGCAGCAAAACACCTTTCACCACATCACACTTCAAATGTCCCCTCGTGCCCCCCTACATGTCCAAACTCATCTCACCACAGAAAGAGATAGTAGTTGATAGCAACATACTTGACGCCCTAAGCACCCGTAAGCGCTACACCGACATGCTCACACTACACGACCAATTGGTGTACTTGCACAAAGGACCCATACCACCCCAAATACTGATGAAATGTGTGTTCCCAGTGCCACGGTTCATGGCCACAATAGTACACCCTCCCTTCGTAGACTCGGAACACCCACAAACCGATTATACATGGCCATCGTTAGAACGCAGACGTCGCTTCGAACAAGCCCACAGAACACTATGGTTAGATAATCCGCACATGGATTGCAACACACTACATCCAGAGGCTAGCGCCAATCTAGCGGCACCCCAGCACTGAACACGCAAACTCCCAAACCACCACATACACCCCCTGTTTGATATTGACCAGGACTTAGACAATATATATGTAGTAGCGTGACTCCGCCTGACTTGACCAGACGCTGGCGAATATGCCTGCGACAAATATGCATTGACTTGAAGTTGAATAGCACATACATCAACGAACACATTGCAATGAAACGTCTTCCGCCTCGAACATATCCCCCTTGAATGCCTACCGGCAGGCACAGTCGCATATCGCGACCCGGTGATGGGGTAGTGAGTAGGATACACTGGTGAGCCACTGTATCATACCTCATATTCAACATATCTGTCACAGCCTCCTCACAGACTCTGTGTCAATCCAGTTATGGTTGTCAAACGCCTACACCACTATCGACTAGACAACTACAGCCAAAGAAAACAACTCAACAAGTACAACCACCACAGACAGCAAGAGACTCAGCCCTCAGATAGTCCAGTTCGCCCTCCCCTGAAAAGCAGGGTCACGGGAACTGCCAACACCTGCCGGTAGCCACAAGTCCACCCCGGACATCAGGCATTGTATATAGCAATAGCGTGTAAACAAATAAAGATACCTAACCCTAAACGCTAAAAAAACCCCCTAAACCCTAAAACCCTAAATCGATGTAAAACTTTCTACTCTTTAGTCGAGAAAGAACTTAGCTTCAGTATTAAAAAGTGGTCGCCTGGTATTAGTACATTAACCGCTCTCATATTAAAAAATACACATACCTTCTTCACTTTGCCTTCACTGTCAATCGTCGGGACTGCCAATAGTGGTAGATTGTCCGTCGTACGCTTCACGATCACCGGGTCTTTCAATCACTTCTGCACTTGTTCGTTGACGTGCGGCAGCTACTTCTCGGGTACAAATTCACGCGTCGATCTTCTCATACTCATGGCTTGCTCGTGCAACGACCTCAATTCCCTTTAACGTGCATTGTTTGCAATAGCGGCGTTTGCTTCGAGTACTGTGGCTAGTTGTGCCCGCACCCCGTCTGGTTCGGTGGTATTGGGGGCTCATCGTTGAACTCTGATGGGTCAATCGGCGCAAGCGGATATTGTATCACCAAGATGTATAAAACTAAATTGGTCATCGTATTTAATTTAGTATAATGGCAATGTTGTTGGGCAGATTCATCAACTCAAACGAACCGTTGATAATCTCCGAGGCATACCATACCGGTAGCACTCCGTTGTTCCCAGACGAAGAGTACGTACTGCTTTATCCGCTAAGTATATAAATGAATCGATCGGCGCTTATGTAATCGGACGTCTTACGAGGTCTGCGGATATTCATACGATGCAGCTGCGGTTCGCCCCTGTGTCTACTAAAGCTCGGAATGTACGCCCATTCATTTGTATTTGTACGTAGACACGGTTATCGTATGACAGTAGTGGGTCATGAATTGCCATTACCGCTCTTAGCGGATGCGTAAACGTGAGTGCTACACGGACACCCTCATACATCAGAGTTAATCCGGTATCGGTGTTCACGCTGACTATGGGGTGGCCGAGTTTGTATCTTCGTCTTGCTCATAGTCATCTACCAGAATCGAACTTTTGTGTACCTCTGTTGCTGACAGTCCGTCTTCCCCCCGCTCATCTGTGTCTGTGACTAACATTAACATGTGACGTTGCAGTGGTGGAGGCCGTTTAACGAGTCGGGTACGGTGATGGTTGGTGCCTGGAGTTTTCCGGTTGTGATTGTCCTGTTCCCCTGGGTGTACTACCCTATAGTTATGGCATCGTAGTATGTGGCGAAGCCCTGGAGGCGCCTGTGCACGGCAGCCGATACATGACATTGGGGTAGTTGTCATTGTTGGCCTTTGTTGTCATTGTTGCTGTTGGCGCTGTAACGTCTGTGGGTTGGACCGGCTGTTCGTTGTGTATGTCTCCGTGTACCGTATCTGTATTATGTCCCGTTTATTGTCATAAACGGATTAGTTCTTTGTCATACTTTTCCATCAATTGCCACTTCGGGTGTAATCACAAAATTCGTTCGTATGTGCGTGACCCTAGGGTATCCTCTAAGAGCTGGACGAGACAATGATTAAGCAGGTTTTGCTTAAAATCTGCATCAGTCTGGCAACGCTCGTGTGATCATCGATGATACTCCATAAGATCGGTCATCTGCTCCATCACTAGTGCATTAATGAGTTTAAAATGTTTCTTCGCTAGCTTGCAAGAGGTAGGGCATACAGTCACCTGCGTCTCATGCGAACAAATTTGTGATATCTGAAATTTTGGTGTCCATGCGATTCAGCGCTGGTGGTTAGACTTAATGTAGTTGAGCCATGACTGCTCGGCTTTGAATTGATTCAAAACCTTGTAGAACCACCTATGACTCCACGCTTCAACTAAACCCGAGATATGAGCGTTCTTAAGGGCTTCGCGAAGGGCATCTTTAGTGTAGCGCTCCATGATGTTGCTGAGCTTATATCGGTTAGAATGGGCTAATCTGGGTAGCTAATCGGTCGAGATTCGTGTTTTGCACGTTTCTACCGCACTACACAGCTCGGCCAAAAGCTTCAGCATTCGTGCATGTAAGGCTTGGCGGTCGGCTGAAATGCTTTCTGGTGTTGAGGTGTGTGCTGTTGAGCAAGTCTCCTACGCTTGCCCCCTAAGGTGGCTTGACTCGATGGTGTGCGTTCGAGTATTCTCTGTACAGGCAGCATATCTCGGTGCGTCCTGGTCAAATTGAATGTCCTGTCGTAGTGTCTGTAATGACGTCTCCATACTATCGCAGAGATTGTCCAACGTCTCCATGCCGTGGGGGTTCTGCGTGACCCATTGTTGTTCTTGCACGAAGCTATGAAGCGATAAAGTGTTCTGTGGTGTCTCACTACCCTCCTGGTCAAACGATGTGTACTCCAATCCATGCCGAGTCTGGTCTGCAACTCTATTGCGGAACTCCGGGATGTCTGGTGTCGGAGATGTCGTAGCGCACTGTAGCCGCTGTAAACGTTGATCGTACCCTCGAGGAGGGATTGTTGTCGCCGGAGGATACTCGTCAGTTGATCTGGAGTATCACTATCTCGACCTTGGGCTTTGTCTACTCGTGTGA